CCCCCCCCCCCCCCCCCCCCCTTCCACCGTGGGTTGAAAAGGCGGGAAGTGATATCGATATGATAGACAGACTAGGGAAGGCTTTTTTGAGCCACCTTTGGCAAAGTAGAAAGCGACGATTGGCCGTCGGTGATCGGTCGTGTGGGAACAATGCTCCGTCCTCTCGAGGACGCGGGGTAAACGGTCTAACCACTAAGGCACGCAAACATGAGAGTACGCCCCCCCTCCCCCATCCCCCCTTTCCACCCCTGCCTTGCCTTAGACGGTCCGCGTTTTCGTCCACCCACTTGGGCAGGTCGCTGAATTGACGGGTCTTGGGGTCTAGTGTCTCGACACCTTCCACACTGAAAAAAGAGATCCGATGTTGGCACGCCAATAGGCGACAAAAGCAAGGACAAGAACATCATGGGAAGCGTCCGGGGGGGGGCTTGGATGAGCGAGAGGAGGGGGCAAAGCCATTCTCAGCAAAATTGAGTTGCATGCATTCCACTTTCTGGTTGTATTGAAACAGCAGTGGCTCGATTCTGAAAGCGAGGATGGCGCAATCTTCTTTGTACTCCCGGCAGAGAAGCTGCATGCGTTCCACGCACTGCTGTACACGCTACCTAGTGCTTCTACGAGGGGTTCGAAGGTGCTTCCATCGGTTGCCGGCACGCTCATCACACATGTCAAACAGATTGAACAAGACAACAACCAAGAGGCTTGCACTCACCTGAAACGCCCGATGCTGGTCTCGTACACGTTTCGCACGTCAAGCAGCACTGCCTCCTTTTCCTCTGCCACCGTCGCATCCTCAGCGTTAGCCCCAGCACCGTCGCTGCACCCCGGCAAGTCTTTGTCCCTCTTGTCCGCTTCACCTCCCCGTAATTTTTTTCCTACTACCGCCAGCGCTGCCACCGGCGCCGGCGCCCCTGCGCAACCGTCCGAGACCGTCGAAGCTCCTTCTTTCGTCGCCCTCGCCACAACAGTCCCGTGACCGCTTCGCCGTGTTGGCGTTGCCTCCGCCAGATCGCCGCCCCGATCATCCGCCGGCGTAGGTGCATCTAGCGACGACAAACCAACAACACCGCCGCCGCCGCTGGCGGCAGCGGCGGCGGTAGCGGCGGCGGCGGTAGCGGCGACAGATTCCCTCCCGGAAGACACTCTTCCTCCTCGCTCGCCGCAAGCGACTTTGTGGGCTTGTCGATTCCGAGCGGCGCCCTCCTGCAGCAAGCGGTGGAACTCCTGCGGAGACACGTGTCTTCCGCCCTCGAGGTGGGACAGGCCCGCTCCCTGGAAGCGCAGGGTACGTGTGTATATCATATGTGAAACCTTTTTGTGAACAGCGGTATGAAGGTGGCAACGGAATACATGATCGCTGCGGGAAACAGTTGCAGCAGGCAACGAAAAAAAGCAGGTATGCCGACGGAAACTGAACTCGTGGCTAGCTTTGTGGGTAATAGTTGCCGCAAGCAAGCGCTCGACTGCTCGACGCTTCACGTGAGGTGGAACCTTGGCGAGAAAAACGCTCCGGTTGTGCAAACGCCCTGGAAGGCTAATATCGAAGAAACTCACCCGAGTACCGAGAGTGACCACCTCCTTCACCTCCTTCACGGATAGCGTCGTGAAGCCGGACTCCTGGGCTGCCTGCGGTAAGTAAACGCGGGATCGGCCACGAAACAGACCAGGAAATAGATGCAGCAGTAGCATCCGCAGTCAAAGTCAAGAAGGCAACAAATATGGGTTAAGTACAACTAAAAGCACGCCTTTCGAGCCGTGGCACCCCCGACGGAAGAAACAACAAGAACGAGGCCTGCAAACTTCACGAGATTGAGCTAGGTGGGGCGGACGGGAAGACAACATGATGCTCATGCGGAACGAGAGGACTGACTATCCAACTACCACACCGATTCTATACAAGCAGTGTGTAGACAGGTACGATCAGTCGCAACTCATCCGCACAAACCAGAAGAACACCTTTGGACGGAGATTGGGCCACAAAACAAGCGAGAAATGGGGGGCAGCCGGGACTGGGAGGCAACGCCATGACCACGGGCGACGACCCGGTGGCGGTGGCAGGAACGTCGCCGTTTCCTGAGCAAGGTGCTGCTGCCGCCGCATCACGAGATCATCAGCTCAAGCGACTCCCACGACACAATCCTTGCTCCAGCTGACGCCCTCAGAAAACACGACCATGATTGAGTCTCTCCGGGAGGCTTGCAATCGCGTCCGGCGCATGTGCCCACACAACAAAAAATCTATCGCACCATTCAGAGCGCCAAAATCAGTGGAGAAACCAGCTTGGCACCTGGGAGTTTCTCGCCCCTCGTGAGGAGGCGAGCTTGAAGTCGATATCGTGCCCTTGCAGGGCCGCGTGTGCCTCGACGCTGCCGATGTGCCTGCGCAGAGCCGCTAGGCTTCCTCCCAGGGTGCAGTTCACGCCGTCTAGGGCTACGCGCACCCTTCCCTCGTCCGTGGTAATGTAGGAACAGATTAACGGGGTGGTGGTCAGTGTTTCGATGTTGCCGATGGCGGGGATGAATGGCTGTGAAAGTGGTGGCGATGGAATGCCTCTTGCTCTCGGTGTTGTCATTGTTGTATACTCTACATGACGCTGCTCTCCCGCCCCTCCTAAGGTTTCCCCATCCCCATCCTCTCCTAGCCTTACCTGCCTCGAAGCCGCTCGACCCCGCAGTGCTCAACGTACCAGTCCTTCACGGCGGTCCTCCCCTCTTCGCCGAGGGGGATGTACTTGTAGTACAGGAGGACACCACCTGTGTCCTCGCTTGCCCCTCGCGGTGCTGCTGCTACTGCGGGATCCTGCTGCTGCTGATCGCAACACCGAGCGCTGGGCTCCAGGGAAGGGTCCATACTATGAAATTGAAGACCTGGGCCGGGGATGAGGGGCGGGGAATCACGTGGTATTTGATGTTGAACTCTGTAGTATTCACATCAAAATTTGGGCAATTGACAAAATGGGGCATACCCCGCGTGTTTGGGCACAAAATGGAAGGGATGTACGTTGCCGGTATACCGGTAATTCAGCGGTAAAGGGTTGGAGCGGTCGGTAAAGTGAAAATTTCCGATAATACTCGACAGTATCGTGCCCCCCCCGGCCCCCCCCATCAGCGCCCCCCCCTCAGCCTCTGCCTTGCGAAGGGAAAAACGAAAAAACAGCTGCTGCAGCTTTCAACACTCACCACACTGACTGAGTCCCTCCCGAGGTCAGAGCATAGCGTATCTACAGCAGACCACCGACACACAGGCAATGAAAGACGACAATGAGTTCTTGGGGCTCGCTTTCGAGCACCCCCTTGATAGTGATAGACGAAAGTGTCGAAGGCCGCCAAGCACTTCTTGCTTTTGTAGACGTCTGGAAAACCCGGGGGAAGTCATTTTTCATCCCCGCTTTTCGCGGTAATAACCGGTCGGAAACACCATTTGCTGGTTCGCGGTAAATTACTGGTCGGTAAAGGGGCCTGACCCGGGTAATGTACATCCCTGCAAAATGGGGCATACTTGTTTTCGGTGTGGGGCGCAACGTCTAACGCCGGGTAGGCGCCTTTAAACCGCCTTCTAGCGCTTCAGCCCCATGCGCCAGGCCCTCAGAAAGGACACCCAACTTTTTTCTTTGCTTTTCACCCACAGGAACAGGGTTAACTAGGGCCTGGAAGAAGGGAGCGTGTTGGAGGACCCCATTTTGTTCACGAAACCGCGGGGTACAGCCCCCTGCCTGCTAAAAGCTTATCTAGTACCCCATTTTGTTCACAAACGTACCCCATAATGTTCAGGGCATACCCCTTTTTGTTCAGTGGTGACGCTCCTCCTGCGGACTGTCAAAATGGCAATCAATAATCAACCGCAGACCACCGTAGGTGTGGCGACAGAAGATGTTGGGGTGTGGTGGTCTGCGAGGCAACACGCAGGTTTCGCGGTCTTCGGCGCCGCAAGAAAACAAAAGATGTTGGGGTATGGTGGTCTGCGGTGCAACATGCAGGCTTTGTTGGGGTCTGCGGCACGGCAAGGAGACAGAAGATACAGATACATATGGTGGTCTGCGGTTGTTGTTGGTTGCCATTTTGACAGTCCGCAGGAGGAGCGTCACCACTGAACAAAAAAGGGTATGGCCTGAACATTATGGGGTACGTTTGTGAACAAAATGGGGTACTAGATAAACTTTTAGCAGGCAGGGGGCTGTACCCCGCGGTTTCGTGAAAAAAAAGGGGTCCTCCAACAAGCTCCCTTCTTCCAGACCCTAGTTAACCCTGTTCCTGTGGGTGAAAAGCAAAGAAAAAAGTTGGGTGTCCTTTCTGAGGACCTGGCGCATGGGGCTGAAGCGCTAGAAGGCGGTTAAAAGGCGCCTATCCGGTGTCAGGCGTTGCGCCCCACACCGAAAACAAGTATACCCCATTTTGTGCCCAAACACGCGGGGTATACCCCATTTTGTCAATTGCCCTTGAAATTTATTGGCCCAAAGTATTGTCATAGCAAAAGGTGACTCTGTTGCGAGGGTTGACGCTAGAGCTGGCATTCATCAGCTGCTCAAGATAACGAACCAAGTCTGCCGTTTCCTTGCCAGTGGCTTGAGTGGACGTGCAACTTCTCATAGCCACTTCCTCCGGCAGCCCTACACGCTGATTTGCAAGGGAAGACGGCAGTATCAGACAGAGCTACGGTTGTTCAACACAAGGCACGCGACTGCGACAGTAAGCGCACACATCAAACCAAGAAGCCGTACATTGACCCCAAACACCAGCAGTACATGCCCTGTAGCAACAGCAAGCCGCGCCCTCCCTAACTCCTAACCCTAACCCAGATCGCAACTCACACCTGTTGCGGTAGCACTCACACCAGTATTCGTCACACACTACATGCACACCAAAGGGTATTGTATTTCGATGATGCAAAAGCAGTTTCTGACTAGACGCAGCTCCACCGCTGTCCGGGATCCCTACCGCCAAGGACAAAAAGGTAGTAGCCGGCGAAGGAGATCTCATTTTGTCACATCTTGTAGTGCGTCCACGTGGGTGTACATGCTGTCGTAGTCAAGGGCAAATGGGTCCCATCTCGGAATTGTCACACGCATTTCAGCAGCGTACCCTTTATATCTCCAGTGTCTGTCCACGGTACACTGACTTCGCATCAATCGGTGGAGCTTGTGTTTGGGTGAGGTTTATCTCATGTCCATGCATCGCATCGGCATGTGACTCGAAATGTTGCCTGACTTGGACGCCTGGATCGCACGACGCTGGCGGCGGCGTTGAGGCTACTGCTATGTACTTGTTCGTGCAGCAAAGGCAGGAAGACAGATTTTCGATGCAGCGGGCCGTGTGCCCATACTGTTGTACACGAATGGCAGGGTTTCTTCTCAACTGATATCTTGCCTGTCGTGTATTCAGGTGTGATGGTGGCATTCGCTCAATCACCTGAGGGTCGTTTCCGTTGTTTTGCAGGAGGGCCTTGTCGAGCGTACAATAGAGACTGCTGTGGCAGCTTGCACCCTGACTCCAACCAAGATTGCTTGCTGTGTGGCTCCTGGCTAACTACGAGGCGCGGGTGCTCCTTTCTCAGTTTTACAGGCTGCCCATTATGCGGGTCTGCTGTAGCTGCTGCTGTACGCCTACAGCAGTGCAAGCTCGCGAGCTCAGAGCTCAGAGCTCAAGCACAAAAAATGCGGGGCAACCATCGGCGAGATGTGCCGGAGGGGAACTTGGAACCGGTTCTTCGATGCTGACGCTAATGCTTCTCATGTTCATGCTCTCATGCTCGCTGCTCGATCGCAATGCTCGATCGCGATGCATTCCCCTACCTGCAATCCTTGTAAAACATTACTCTTCTCCCTCCGCCCATCATACGATGTAGCCAAAAAGCAATCCTACATCGCTTCCCTCGGAAGCAAACCGGCATACAGCAGTAGCGCTACGGTTTAAAATGATTGGAGATTTGGGAGCGCGTGGCGCTATCCCAAGATGCTATCTAATAACTTGATGTAACATGATGAGTTATTACAGTAGCCCTCCAAAAAAACATTCAGCTGGTTGAAACGGGAGCATCCATATTCCATGGCCTTTGAAGTGCTATGGTTTAAGAGAATAATCTCCTAAAACACATGCACGGTTCAAGAGAATATTCTGTTGTACCGTAGCCAACACGGTAGAGATCAAGGACGATTTAAGAGAAAAATAGGGGATAGTCACCCTCCTCCTTTAAACCGTAGCCGCTAGAACACTGTAATTCATAGGTCAGAGAAAAGTTTGCATAGGTCATTTGGCTAACAGTAGTATGAAGTCATATCGTGTGAACCTCGCTCCAATGTGCACAACCGGCGCAGGGGCACATGATGCGATGGGGTGTTCGAAAGACATTTCATACGTGTGTTGCTTTTGTAGCAATCTAACCGAAGACAGGACTTAGGTACTCCAAGTGCAGATAGCCGGAAGAATTTACGGCATGCACTGCTTCGCATGGACTATATGCACAGGTCCGCTCGACTTCCCGCCCCCTTCATGTTTTTCGCCACCGTTGTCTTCCTCCACCTAAGCATGGTGCGTAGAAAGGGAAGACATGAAATCCATCGTGATTGTTCAATCGATCCACCTGCTCCACATAAATAATCTTCACCTTCTTAATTGGACACCCCTTGCTAGTACCGGAACCGATGTCGCGTTATTACCAGTTTGATATTTTTACTTACAAAACCTCGGAGGAGCAACGGGGGGAGGGGGGGGGAATAGTGGGAAAATGGGTGAGGGGTAAAACAACAAATTGAACGTCCATTATTCACTCTCTAATAACAAGCACTCCTGAGCGTGTAGCACTACACAAGCAACGAGATCCCAACTTCGCTCTCGTTGGGACTTGAACTCCCAACCCAGCCTTTACACAACAAGACACAGCCAATAACAAGCAAATGCCAACAAAAAAAACACCTCATGCTTGTACGCCCAGTTTATTGGGTGCATATAGACTAGGGCCATCACGTGTGTCGTTTGTTTGTTCATCAGTCCGCGATTATGCGTCCTGCGAAAAGGAGGTCGCGCCACCCCAAGAGAGACCCGTCAATCCACAACCTCGAGATAGAGCGCGAGTCACTACCGCTCTCCGGAGACTCGCCGGAGACAGCCACATAGACCGGTCGGGTCTGTGGGCTGCGCTTCTGCCTGCCGTGAAGTAGCTTACAGCGCGAAGCAGCTCAACCGATTCACTACTTGAGCTTGACGCTTCAAACCGCGCGAGAACAAGCAGCGCAAGCGGACGGGGTCCACAGCTGCCGCCTGCCGTTCCTTCAACTAAGCCGCATTGAAGAAAGCAACACAAGGCCAAACTAGGCGTTTGACATGACCAAACACATTCTCACAACACATGCTGGCCTAACACAGCACAGCGAGGCTGACAACACGACGAGTTTCTTCATTCTCAGCCCATGCCTCAAGCCAAGGACAGGCCAAGCGGCATCTTCCTGAAACACGGTTCCTTTTTGTCTTGTCGGACAAAGCCATCCCCCGATTCAGACATCATGGGCTTCGATGTCCGCACCACCAGGTCGCGCGGGGGCCCCTGCACCAACACACAACGACGGAACGGCGGGATAATTCGGGAAGTAGATATGACGCGTTACGTCACCGAGAGATAAGTGTACAATGACCGCCATCGACACCGCCGCTGCCGCAAGCAACCATGAAAATGAATGTTTGCAATAACGTCTTGTTCTTTCTCACCTGCGCCAGCCCCTCCCCCCGTCCCGTCGCCCGATGTCCCTGACAAGCCCTCCGTTCCGATCGGAACCCCAACTCTTGTAATCCGTCCGACGTCCGCCCCCACCGCCATCCGTCCCCCCGCCCCCGCCACAGCCGCGCCCCCAGGTCGAGGAACCCCCTTCGTCCCCGGTGCTGCCGAATCGTTGTCTCCCGAGCTGATAGCAATGTCAGTCATGAGCTTCTCCATCGAGCGCTGGAATAACGGGGGCGCAAAAAAACGAAGAGCGACAGACCTGTTAACCCACATGAGCCAAAACTCCACTAGGTGCTCTGCACTGAATAGAGCAACCAAAGGGTGTGCCTGCCTGCTGGCATGCAAATGGACGACACACGCAAACGTGAACAATGATTTACGCGTGATTCATGTCCGCCCTCACGACCGGCAACCCCGAAACGATGCTGGGGTAGGCGCGGGGCACCCCTCGACCTTTGACAGCCATCGGATCTTCTGTTAACGATACACGCAGCAGTGCAACGCACACAAGGTGTCGGTCAAACGGACGGGGCACAGCGATCCTCCATCGTACAACAGAATAAAAAATGACAGTGCCAAAGAAGAGATGGTCGACACCTGAAATTGTTCGTGGTATACAGGCACCGACCGACGATGAAGCCGACAGACAACACGAAAACCACGTATCGTCGACCTTGGGAGGGCGGGGGAGGCTTGCCTGCTTCGCTGCCTCTTGTCTGGCCTTTGCCTCCTTGACCCTTCGCTGCAGATCCGGCAGGTAATCTCGCTCGAACTCTAACGCGGCGTTGTCTACCGCCTGGCGGAAGGTTGGCGCGCCGCGTGTACACGTGCGGGGTCGTTTCGCAAGAGGACAGCAGCAAGTAACGGAGACAGGATGGGTGGGTCTTTTATATCTTTAGAGCGAGAGCGGGTGTTGGCGGATAGGCGTGCATACGTGCGGGCGACCACAGAAAGCATGTTTGAGGAATAGTGACGAAAGACAAACAAAAGGTAAGTCGAAGATAGAGGCACCGACAGGCACTTGGACAAGAAGCAAGGAAGACATTACACAACCACATCCACGAGAAAGTATCCTCGCATTCTTCGTCTCGCTAAGAGACTATAATAGGCATTTTTCATTGGTAAGCCGGCTGATGCGATCGATCAAAGCACACACTCACGTTCACAACAAGTGGTTCAAACCCAGAGACACTTGTACAATCTCCTCTGCGGCCCCCCTGCCGCGGGAGCTCGCGGACTACAAAATGTGTTCATGCCTTTTGCCCATTTCCCTTGGAACAGCTACCATGAAGCTGGGTCTCCTAGTGCGTCCCTTGTCGCAATCGGTTGAGACTATCAGGCTGCGATCGCTTCGTGATAAAACGTTTCCAAACCACCTCATACGAGAGAAATTGCAGCCGCACACATCACTTGTCTGGATGGGCGGCTACAGAGTGTTTATCGCTCTCATTTTATTGTTTGACCCATCGCTTTGAGTTTTTGTGGCGAAAGTCTCCTGTTTCGAACACCCAAGGGCTTCAAACTGTCCTTCTCCCCCGACCATCCTTGCGAGATCGGCATTGCCACCGGTCTGACGCTGCAGGGTAGGCATCATCCTTTTGCGAGATGAATAGTCTAACGACTACGGCATGCACGACGATGAGTATGAGTACACCCGCCTCCCCACCCCCCCGCCCCCCCCGGTCATTGCCATCGGGGTTGGGTTTTAGTCGAATAGTAGCGATGTTGTAAAACAAGGTGGTCACATCGTGAGCTTGGCTATCAGGTTACCGTTTCTTTTGCCTTTGCTTTTTTTTTTGCGGTAACCATGAGTGGTGGTCGAGAAGATTTTGTGCGGGGTCGAAAACCCTCACTCCGCGCTAAGGGGATAATGGCACGTTGTGTTAAATTGGTAAAACACCCTCGAGGCAGTTACACTGTGCTTACAACTGTCCCTGGAAGTGATAGCACCAGAAAATACATTAAGTCATACGCAGCTGTCATCCGTACGCAAGGAAGTAAGCACAAATTGCCGAACACCCTTAGCAGGATGCAGCGCACCCTTCATGCGACTCGCCGAATATCTCACGGCGCTTCGCGCTTGGTGATGTGAGAGCCTGGTCCGGTGGAAAACCGGCGTAGTCCGTCTCGGCTTTGTAGGGATGCAAGGTCAATGCCTAACGACTACGGCATGCACGACTTTAAGTACCCCCTCCCGCCTCCCCCCCCGCCCATGCAAGTCGCCGAAAACCTCGCGGCGCTTCGCGCTTGGTGATGTGATGGCCTGGTCCGGTGAAACACCGGCGTAGTCCGTCTCGGCTTTGTAGGGATGCAAGGTCAATGCCTAAACGACTACGGCATGCACGACTATGAGTACACCCCCCCCNGTCCGGTGAAACACCGGCGTAGTCCGTCTCGGCTTTGTAGGGATGCAAGGTCAATGCCTAACGGCTACGGCATGCACGGCTACGAGTACTCCCCTCCTCCCCTCCCTCCCCAAACAAAGTGGCGACGCAAGTGGCGATCAAAACACGATCTAACGACAAGAGAAACGCCGATGCTAACCTTGAAAAGAGCCGGCATGCCGTCGCCGCTAGCCGCCGACACTCCAACCGCCGTGAGCGCGTTGTAGAACTCGTCGAGCACGAGCGCGAGGGAGCGGTTGAGGCTGTTCATGTAGCTCTCGTCGCCGGAGGTGTCCAGGGCCTCCTGCAGCTTCTCGAAGTCTGACATCCACTCCAAAGCGAACTTCGGGGACAGGATGTCGGACTGGTGGCCAAGCAAGCCCAAGAAAGACAAGCCCGTAACCCGCGATCAGGCAGTGTGGTACTCTAGTACGGGTTTCGGTTCTCTAGTATTCGGGGGTGGAGATTCCGGTACACTGGTAAAGGGGGGTGGGGGCTCCGGGAGAGGGGGGGGAGGGGGGAGGTTCGTGTAGCCAACAGGCCCAGCCGCGCAGCGCTGGGCGATGAACAGAGAGGGTTTCCCCTAAAAAATCTGCGCGTGGATTACTCTGCGTCCTCTGTTCCTATAACTTGTAACCGCAAACAATCAGCGGCGTGACACCATCAAAATCCGTCCGAGTCTCGTAACAGCAACGAATCGTGATCGATGGAGACGTCTCGACGCCAAGCGGGCGCACCTTGTTGAGAGCCAGGACCAGCGGTAATCGCGATTTGTACAGCACGCTGCATGCGTACAGCATGTTGGACATAAACGTCGTAGGGTTTGCAGTCCGAGGCGTGTCGACGACGTATACCAGAGTCTGAAACAGAACAAAAAAGTAAGACAGGGAGGAGGGAGCGCTGCTCAAGCCGGAGAACACGGCATGCATTTACGAATGCGCCTAAAACGAAATCACAGCGGAGGAAAACGCACGTGCATACGTGCGGGGGCTGCAATGGCAAGCAGCAGACTGTGGTAAACAAACTACCTCCGCTCATCGACATGAGACTTGGTCTTCGGGCAAAAAGAATGGAACAGGTTTGTAACGTGATGAAACATAACAAAACAGATACCTCGACCGGACAGGCCACCACGGGAGGCGAAAACGCTGAACGCGAGGCATCTCAAGCGTGAAAAAAAAACTTCACACATGTTTTCTGGCGGAGCAGTAGCTGGAGGAAGACACGACACCCACAACGAAATGCAACCTCCACCGCATTTCCTCCACAGAGTACATACTACACCTAGAGTTTTACGGCTCAAAACAATCCTCAGAAAAACTCACCAGGGTAACACTAAGATATCCAGACTACTGCTGGACCCCGCAAAATACAACGCACACAATAATAATGAGCTGTGTCGCGGCGAAGCCGCGATTTTTACGTGAAGGAAAAAGCGGCTCTAAATATTGATGGTTCCAATCGTGATGCAGGGGCCTAAAGTTTGGTGTCCGGGGAGCCTTAACAACCCGCCTTCGGGACCCAACCAAGACCTGTACGATTTTGACCGATCGACGATCAATTTCCTTCTGAGGAGGGAGAAAAATAGGGCACTCTCCGTCACACCGGTTTGTGCTTCGGCAACAGATGGCCGTGCTACACAGGCGTTTGTGCCCAAAATTCGTATGAGATACCACATGCCAACCCCTGGAGTTGCCGAGAGGCGAAACACAATCTATCGGAGATCGACCCATGCACGAAGCCAGCCAGCCTGTAGAAGACACAGAGAGAGGTGACACGCAGCTTTGTATGTCTCGCACATCCATAGAAACACACACACATCCGCCGTGGCCCAATCCCTTCCGTTATGTCAAAGCACAGGAGAGCAAACCTGGCGCCCACACACACACTTGAGTGGTGCCGTCCCTCTGGTTGCACGGCAAGGATTCTGGACGATGCGCACGACGCACTCTTCTTACCGTTGGAAAATCTCGACATACATGATGGGTGAAATACGTTCGACGGGAGTCATTATCATTACAGCAGCAGCAGCAGCAGCAGCAGCAGCAGCAGCAGCAGCAGCAGCAGCAGCAGCAGCAGCAGCAGCAGCAGCAGCAGCAGCAGCAGCAGCAGCAGCAGCAGCAGCAGCAGCAGTACAGAAGTGCACTCGTGCCAGCTATCACTGTCCATTCTTGTCGGCGACAGTGCTGTCAGGTGCCGATCGTTTGGCGGTACTGCTGTAGCAGTGGGCGACCATGTGTGTGTGTTTCTCCGCCGTTGTTGATGTGATTAAAAATTCAATTCCAGCGGGAGCGGATGCACCTGTCTTCGAAGGTCCGTTCGAACATATGTATTCCGCGAGTAATGAATTCTACTGTCTGGTTTGTTGCGTTGCTGCTTCCTGGAGGCAGCGTGTCTCGCACCTCGCACAAACCCGCAGATAGACTACGGTCATGATTTGAGTCGTACCCCGCGGCTCATCACCCCTCCCTACTAGTATTACCGCGGTGTGGGTTCTCATGCCACACCTACACGCGTTATTACGGTCACCTAGATCTAACAAGCAAGCGGGGTCTTAACGCCCTTCACTCACGGTGGGGAAAGCGGACGCCAGCGTCTCCGTGATGATTTGCCCAGACGCGCTCCAAGTGAACACTTCGATCTGCCCCGGGGTGTCGATGAACACGTACCTGTGGGGTTCCCGTGGATCATGTGGTGCGCGTGAAGGAGGGCCATGGGGCAGCAGGAGGGGGGTGAGAGGATCAGGAAAATGGGGGACTGGACAGCCGGACGCTCTCCTTTCCAAACTTGACTCATTTAGCCACACTGCCGATTGGTTCTTGAGGGTATATTGGTGCCTTCGCTCCACCTCAGGCATTCACGACGAGCTCACAAGCTCAAGCGCTCAAGTCACCATACGCCAATACGGGGCAATGTTGCGTTGAACAAGGGAGCCAGAAAGCGAGGATAGTACCCACGTCCGGAAGATATACGAGATTCATGCGCCCCAACCGCACCTACAGAACCGTCCCAGAAGCTCAACGTTGCCCTAAGGTCCTTGCAAAGACAACCAACACCTTGCACTCCGTACCAGGGGAGCCCTCGTAAACATGCTTCACTCACTCAAGGTCATCCGATCGCTTCTCGAGGAGGTCCAGAACCTGGTCGAACCTCGTCGCGAAGAGGTTGAGGGAGGTGGTGATCGCCCCGTTTGGCCCGAGACCATACTGGCTCATGACCTTCACGTTTTCGTGATGTAGCAACATCCCAGCGCGTATGTTCGCCGTATTGATTCAGACCCGGTCACCGGTTTCCGCAACCGAACAACGCCACACAAGGAAAAGAGAAAGGCCACGCCCGAGGGGGGAGGCGCGAAAAAACGAGTGAAAAGTAGCGGAAGTGGAACGGCGTCGGGGTTGATGAAACAAAAAACAACCCAAAACAAGTACATGAGAGGCGTGTCAATCATGGTATGGCACAGGTTCAGTTGTGTATTCTATTTGTCCAAGCGATCCTGGAACTCTTTGTAGGCACTGTGTGAAGTTACTCTTGGGTGGTGACAACCGTGAATCCACCACAAGTGGTCTCAACGAAGATCTGCCGCACCCTGATGTTTACAACCACACACGGAACGTGAAAAGTTTAGTCTCGCAGGATTGCGAAACCCGTTTTCAGCAAGAAATGCCACAGCAGTACGGTACAATGTTTTCAAGGCTTTCCCTCAGACCGCCCTCTCTATCAGACTGCCCCCTGCTGCCGTTGCTTGAAGATCTCACTGGGTGTTGTCACTCACCTCTTTGTAGTTGACAGTGTCTCGGATGTCGATGCTGGCTCCGAAGGGTACCTGCTTGACGGCCGGGTCCAGGTTGATGAAGTAGCTCTTGATGCCCTTCTCCGCCGTGTAGAAGTTCAGCCTCTGCAGCAGAGTGGTCTTCCCGCTCCCGGCCATGCCCATGACGATGCACACCACGGGCTTCTTCTTTGTGCGGACCTCCCCCTTGCCGCCAGCGGCGGCGGCGGCGCAGCTGCTGCCGGCCCCCTCGCCTTCGAGAATGAGAAGGGGGGGGGTCGATGTTCAGAGTAAACAAAAGGGAGAGTGAGATAGAACAGGGCGTCGAACTGCTGTAGAGGTTGTAGGGACCGAAGCTTCATCTTGACTTGCTGGTTGTCATGGGTGTACACTGTATCCTATATCCTGCGCTACATGCCGCGGGGCCGCTGCTGCTGCACAAGGTGCGCACCAGCTCTTTCCATGGAGATGCACCGAAAGCACACTGGACGGGTGTCCCACTGTCACTTTGGTTCCCACCACTTAGCACAACAGCAGCAAGGTTAGCACAATACAGGTTCGTTCAATGTGGCATTTGTCAACTGCGCCGCTGCACTCCTCATGGCCCGCACCGCGACACCACACAAGAGTGGTGGGAGGGAGACTGCCGCACCTGTGGGATCTGATGGGGCAGCGGATGCTCCATCATCTCCGCCCCTGCGAGCTTCTTCCTCCACCTTTTGCAAGAACTGCATGGTCACAGCGACTCACGCACACTGCCGCTCGTTCAGTCAAGCGAGACAGCACGACACGCAACTCGCGCGCACACTCTGCCGACTGATGGGGGCCAGTGCGCAAGAAGGCCTGATGTGGTTGGGTGGCGCCCACGGGACTGTCACGTGTATGGAGTTCGACTTCCCGTTATATATGTTTTGATCGGGGACTGGGGCTTTTTTTTCTTCTGCTCCGTGCCTGCTACCTGCTGCCCCAGCTCTGCTCTCTTTCCCACCCTGGTGTGTGTGTAGCGCGAGCGAACCAAAATCTCCCTCGAATGGGTTTAGATTGGTCAGCCCCGCCGGGCAGAGCAGTTTTCTCCCCGGGGCTCCTACCGTTCACAGTCTGGAGCAAGGATGACCTCGCGATGATGAAAAGGCGACACGCTGTTTCCTTGGGAGGTGGGTAGGCTAAAATCCGGAAGATATGCGAGACGAGATGCAAGACATACATGCAAGCTTTGCAGATGGTCTGCATGGCCATTCACGAGTGAGGGTATCGGTCTATAATACCATGTTTGTCATGGATCAGTGTGTAACACCGAACACATGGCGCCGTCTTGGCTGTGCCACACTGCAGGAATTTACGCTCTACAGCCAAAGCACTTCGCTGTGCTTATCAGCGCTGATCGCCGAACTTCGGACCCGCTGTTTGATGGGATCTTCGACACAGACGGAAACGGTCTGGTAGATGCTTTCGAGGCGATGTGAGCACGTAGTTTGTACCAAGCAACATGAGACCGTTGACTGATCGAGATTTTTTTTTTACTCTACGCAGCCCACCTATGCCCGCGATGGGATGGGGACAACTTGATTGAATCGAAGGGTGCATAGTCAAAGCATGTAGTCTAATTCACTTAGTCTATGTATGAAGTCTACTTGTACAGTCAAACACACGGAACATTCTGTGCTCTGTGCTACGACGGCGCCCAACGAACGCATCCGGGGTCACACACTTGAGCCGGTTGTTGTTTAAGCTACACAAACAGCCAAGAGAGGAAGCTCTATGCAATTATTTCTGCAGGTGTGCCTTTGCGCTTCTTTGCTCGGCCACCATTGCGGAAAAGGTTGACTTCATGCACTCCTTGTTCGACTTTGGCATGGACGGGGACCTGCACCTCCCCGAGGTCACCGTTCTCGTGAGGACGGCCCTTATCGCCTGCGCAAAGGTTCGTGAGTTGATTGGTGTTGGGGTGGTTTTTGGCAAATACTTGGAGTTTTCTGGAGAGATGAGAGAAATAGAGCCGCTACGCACCAGTTGACATTTGCGCATGTATGTATGTATGTTGGTGAAAGATACTCCTTTGAACAAAAATGTAGCTCCCGGCGTGACCATTTGATTCTTGGGTTGAGTCTTCGTTAGATAGCTACGGCGTTTTCTCTGTGTAAACCCGACTGCATGCGAAGCACGAACTTTGGCCATGTCGTTTCGGTGGTAGACCACTCTTGATGTCGCCGAATCCTTGATGCAGAGGGTAACGCAGTTGGCACCGGTTTTGCACCACACAGTTTTCCGTACACAGCAGACTAGTACCAATACCACATGAAAACCTCCAGAGCCTTGCTGAATGGTGGAGCTCCGCTCAAGGTGCTTGTGCGTGGAGCAATAGGCATAGTACCGTTGTCGAATTGAAACCCTCCACCTACAGCGTGGTTTCCCTCTTTCATCCGGCATACCGGTTCTCCCGCACGCAGCTAATGGTGCCCTTGCTGCTACCACATGTGCTTGTCGTTTCCTGTTCAAGCTTGATTCTAGGGTGAAGACTCCGTCGACAGAGGCAATAGAGGGGCTTTGCCAAATGGCCTTCAACCAGGTACGCAATTCCGAATGATTATACGTAATGCTCCCGTCAACGAATGTACTGCCCTGTTGCGTTAGCTGCCGTCCGTTGAAGGAGTTGTCGTGCCAGGGTGTTGCCATCATGCTTCGACTTTCCTTGATGACAACCGAGGCACAACATGAGAGCGCTCCCTGACAGTATGTAAATTTCACGGTGACGTGTGTACAACCATGCTACTTTATGTCACTCATCGCAATGGCTTCCTCCCGATATGTTAGGACTGTGTCCAGCTACACAAGCCCCGCTTTGACGAGGATTGTGCAGGTGCCGCATGCGAAATATGAAAAATTACTTAGGAGGATTTCTACCTTCGTAGTGCAAGCTCTCAGTACGTGAACGGAGGGCATAGCGACTACCTCACCACGTTGTAGCGGTATATACTGAAATACCGGAGAGTGGCATGTGCTTCTCAGCACTGATCAAGTGGTTGTCTACCGTCGACAACAAACTCCGCCCCATACTTCCCCACCACCTACTGGTTTCGGCGTTTGTTTCCGTTCCAAACACCCTAGATTTTCAACTTAAGCTGATTAACTCCAAGGGCCGCGATGTTTTCCCCACACTCTGTGTGCTGCAGCACTCTCCCCCCCTCCACACTACTTCGTTGTTTTCAAGGCCGGTCTTGACGACGAGGGCGCGCTGGCAAAGCATCTGTTCGAATCGTTTGTGTCCAGCGACTCGCAGATGACGGTATGTTCAGAAAGTTCTCCTTTGGTGGGTACCTCTATAGCTACGCCACGGCCAGAGACTAGGTCGTCGTCTTTCTCTTCGTGTGTTTTCTCGCCGCACTTGAGCCGGAACCAGTGGAGGGCCCTGTAGATTTCTCCCTTGAATAGCTTTCGAATGGAACAGAAACAACATACCTGCCTGTTGTACATCGCTAAAGAGCGATCATTTGGATAGCGTGGGCTCATCGCTTGCCTACAACAAAAGGGTCGTCTGCCAGAAATGAGACAACCGGGGACCATGTCGTCTTTTCCCGGGCTTTAACGGATTCTCCGTGAAAGGAGATGCCCTGATTCCCGACTATAGAATCTTCTGAAAACTTGGTTAACATTCAGCACGAACGACAGCAACGACGATGGCAACGTTGCCCACCCCTACAAAACCAGGCCTTCCTTCAGCTGTGGTCAGACAGCATAAGCCAGGCGGCCGTATCGGAGGGAACTCTTTGGGAAGACCCCGACTTTCCGGGCGACCCAAGGTGGGCATGACGGCAGTGTCGGCGTCCTTGCAGTGCTCTCTCTCACACTACTTTGGCACATCACTCACTTTACACGAAACTCGATTGGGCTATCGGTTTTTTTCGAGGACGTTCGTGTCAATCACATTTCTGCAACAACTCTCGTTTGAAAGGGCATGCGCCCCCTTGACTGAGCCACTTGACAAATGAGGACAACAGGTCCCTGAAAACGACAACGAAGCGAGTAGACTTGTGCCTGGGAGGCCGATAGGACATGTGCTGTTTCCAAGGTACCTCCGAGAGCACATGCTCGTGTTTTCCTGTCTAACCCCAAGCTCCGAAACCATTCCCACCTACCAAAAACTATCCTGGGGATATCGAAGCGCTCTAAGCCTCGTGGCTGGAACAGTGCCGCCGGGCATACCTCCTGGAGAGGCCGTGCGATGGTTGCGACCGTCGGAAGTTGCGGGAGGCGAGGCGGTGCTTTTTGTCGGGGACGTACCTGGGGACGGTCCCATGGTACCAGGGCAGGTGTGCTAGTCTATTGAGGGAACACGTACCTGTTGAAGTCGCACGAAGAGCTGAACTAGAGGTTTTGAGAGCAGGATCACAGCTTTTCCTGCGCAGTGCCCCCGCGTTTCTATTTTCCATTGTTCCTCCTACGGCCTTCCTCCGTTTCTCGTGGGAAGTTGTGGCTCTACATCTAACGTATTTATCACACTGGTATCACACGAGGAGGAAAAAAGTCGTACATCCTGGCAACCGCACACAGCGACAACAACGGCGGCAACAACTATAACAATACCCTCAACCAGAGAAGGGCAGTGGCCGCAACTGCAACAACAATTAAATTACCCGCAATACACCACCACCAGCAAAAACAACCGCATAACACCACAAACGTTATTGTTTCGCCAACAAAATACCAAGTTGGCTGACCAGTGGCTGCTGTCGGCGATAGGCATCCTCACCGGACGCCCGCATCTGCTGAGATCGCTGTTCGTGCCCACGGGGCAAGAGGCGCTCGGTCGCTACTGCGTCCGTCTCTTCAAGGAAGCCAACTGGATCAACGTCTTCGTCGACACCTGCATCGCGTGCAATGCTTTGGGAGATGTGAGAGATCACGACGGTACAAGGGGACATAGGTCGTTTGCCGGTCCTGCAGTCAGCGCTCGGCACCTAGACGAACCGAGAATGTTTAACCCTGGGCACATCCACGCGCGCAGCTGGATCCGGCCCCCGGCGAAAGAAAAACCCCTCGCCGAGGTTTCGGGGGGAAGCATGGCGTTTCTACTGTAGTTGGCCAGACACAGCCACAGATCTCACTTGCTACTCTTGTGGTCATTGCAAGTGTGACATGGGGTCGGGCGGGTACATCCAGTAAACCACACCCACTGTGTGGTCTAGTGGGTAGCCTCGCAGCCTGCTAAGGGCCAGGTCATGGGTTCGAGTCCCGGCAGGGAGAGTTTTTTTCTCACTAAATAAATACTGGTCTAGGATGAAAGCGACGCGCTGCAAAGCTCGTTTGTTAGTAAACCATAATCGACTTCGTAAGTCGCGAGGGAAGGGATTGCTGTACCCTTCTCGCGATAAAAATAACTCAGGCATGAACCGCAGGAGGGGGGTCCAACCCCCCCCTCCTATGTGACCCCGGTTGGGTCGTCTAGCCAGTAGAAGTGGAGGATAGGGGCCAGAGGGGCAGACGGCAGAGTCCAATGATGGGAGAGAAACAAACAAAAAAGCAAAAACCCACTGTTCGAATCCCCCCCGCGCGACCATGGAATGTTTGTTGCGTATCGTCTGCTTACGTCCGTCGTTTCTTGCGTGTGTTCTCCCACAACATTCGAAAAAAAACGTTGTCTATGAATATCAATACGGTCACAAAAAGCCTCTCTTCTGCCGCGGGGAAGAGAGGCACGAGCTGTGGGGTTTCCTGCTGGAGAAGGCATACGCCAAAGCTCACGGCTGCTACGAGAACCTCATGCACGGAGACACGCGCGAAGCGCTCCGAGACCTGACGGGGGGAGTCTCCGAGAAGCTCCAGTGGCAGCTGAGCGGGCGGCCTGGTGCTGCCGGTGTTTCGGCCGCGACGCCAGGCCAGGCGGCGCCGGAGCAGCAGCGGGAGATCCCGCGCCCACGAGTTGCCGGGTGGGGCATCCTGGCGGGCACGACACCGCCGTTGGGCTGGGTTTTCGAGAACATAAGGGACAGACTTTCGGATGGGCAGGTTCTCGGTTGCAGGTCCGTTTCGGCTTTTTGCTCTTGTGAGCGGGTGGCTTTCATGCCCCCCCAAATTGAGGATCGAAATTTCATGCAGGGTCGCGGTGGACGCTACCATTTTCGGAGGGAGATGAAATCGGCTCAAAATAAGCTCTGGTCGGGGAGGAGAATCTATTAGGGTTATCACCGTTGGGGAAGGTGCATCATTTCACATGCATAGTCAGCAACCACAGTTGCCACCGGCGAGGGGGCTGCCGAGTGATTTCATTCACCTCCTTTTCCGTCGTGCGTCTCCAGCTGGCGTTAGCCCATACGCAAGCGTGCACAATGGTTCGTTCGTTTCATTGGTCAGCCCCACATGTGCAACCTCGGCGATTCGTTCTTGCGCCTCCGCGTCCCAACAGCCGCCAGGCTTGGCTACGATGTCCATGGGGCGGCGGTGACCAGCAGGAGGCCGCGGACGGTGGTGTGCTCTTCCCGCCTTCGAACAGGTAGCTGAAGAAGCTTCGGTCCTAGCTTAATTGGCGCGTGTGATTGACCAATGGTGTGACAGCCTTCCTTGTCACTGGTCGGCCTATGTTGGAGCAATCATTGCGATTTACAGGAGCGCACCAAACACAGCGCATGTTGCCACGGCAACACGGTTGTGCTCAACATCGCGGGTGGCACGAGCGAGCTAGCGGGTCGGCTTCGGGCGTGCTTCCTCGGATCCTTCCTTTGCCCTTGTAGACGATGTGGGTGGGGTTTTATCGATCGTTCGCCAAGGCACGGAACAAAACTAGATCTATCCTTTACAAGAAACGTGGGTGTTGCCGCAGGGTGATGAAGGGTCTTTGCTCTGGAGTTTCGTACTGCGTCCTGGAGGCGTTCGAGAAGGGCGGCACGCGTCTTCTGCGCTTGCGGGACCCTTGGGCAGGTGGGCGAGAAAGCAAGACATCATTCACAAAGTCAACACGTCGCGCTGCAGGCTGGTATCGCCTACCTCATGCGCGTATTGCCGCGTATGGCATCTATCACCCTTTCGTAAGGCTGCGCCACGGTGAATTCGTGACAAGCTGGCCACAATATTGTGTGAACTCGGATGACATTTGCCGAAGTGGGACAGCGAGAAGCGTATCGAGTTCATGAGCGCCTGGTGGCAAAATGCCTCACCTGCGGATATGTACCACGTGACACCGATGATTGCGGCATTAGACACCCATCCGCGAATGATGGTCGTGATTCCACCAGGGGCATAGTGCTGTCTCCATAAGGGATGCGTGCCCCAGCACGGCAAAAAAACAACCGAAAGGGACAACGAGCGCCCCTCTATATGTGTCCATAGCAGCAACCCCCTGTCCCTTTTCATCATGAAGCCATGGCCGCCAGATGCGCAAGCACACCGCACCTCACCACCACCCGCGCACCCCCATGTCGCTGAAAACAAAGCTCGACAGCGAGGCGCGGAACCCGGCGAGTACCTCGGAGACTGGGGCCCTTCGTCACGGCAGTGGTCCGCACGCGCCGTGGCCTCGGAGCTTCTCCCCAGAACGCTCCGCGGAATGTTCTGGATGGAGATGGGAGACTTTCTCAGGATGTTCAACACGCTGTACGCCGTGGACCTCGCTGGAGGTGCGATGGAACTCTCCCTCGAAGAGGAAAAGCAAAGGTCAAGACGACGACGGCTACAGCGGCAGCAGCAGCAGCAACAGCAGGTGTCGAAAACGAGCAGCAGCGGTACCAACAGCCCAGCTTCGCGACCATCCACCGCCCCTGGCGCGGCCTCCGAACTTGCGGCCGGCGCTGGATCGAGGGAAGGGCGCTGCCAGGGGTCGTGGGAGGGAGAAGGGTGTGGGGGAAGGTATTTTGCTGTGTGTCGAAAAACTCTTTGAGATTAATGATCATCACTTTGCTCTATGGTTCGGAAATCCCGAACGGTGCTCTCGGCACAGAATGGCAAGGGCCACCATGTTGTGTGAGCAACGCAGCCTGCGGGCTCTGGAGGGAACAGATGGGATGAGACGGGGGCAGGAATGCACAACTTAATCCTGTTTCAGCACCCCAACATAAATAAGGTCCACTTCGTCGATGCAAGTTTCCTGTGGACTTCGAACGACGTTTCTTCAAAGATGTGTTCTGGTAGACCGGAGTCTAGGAGGGTGCAACGCGTTTGCAGTATTGGGACACGGCCAGCCATTGGTGTGCCCTTGTGTCCGTGCTCTCCATACGCCCGAAACAGGTACGGCAAGCCCCTTGGAAACAATCTCCACGGTGTACAGCTACCGACTGAACTTGCTCTCGAGGAGACGAGTGCTTTCTCGTCCTATCGCTCCTTGTTCTACGTATACCTCCTGATAAAAATGTCATAATTGGACGTTTCTGTGCATGCACGCGTACCCGCGTTCCGTTGAACGAACGAATCCACCCGGAAACGAAACAGATTCACCGAAGGCAAAGGATGGCTCCAAGGAACTCAAGTCTTTCTGCAGATCGGCCCCCGCGACAGCAGCATTCGTAACAACAGCGGCGGCACCACCACCACCAGCGGTTTCGGCATCACCACCGCGACAGGCGCGGTCGCGCCGTCATCCGGAACGCCGAAAAGTGCCTACAACAAGGACAACACAGCTCAAGTACTGATCACGGTGAGCATGAGAGATCACGGGCAGAAGGACGGGAGAAAGGGAGCGGGTCTCTTTCGCCGCCTGACGTAGGTTTGACGTTTGACGCGATTGTTGTCGCACTCCCTGTAGAACACACTTTTCCTGGCCCACGTAGATTCCTTTCCAGCCTCGGAGAATGAACTTCTCAATGAAGTCGTTTCTTTCATCCATCACCTGTGGAATGCTGCCGCGGGATGGTCTGTGGTGTCTCAAACCTCGATGGAACAGGGGTTCGTTGAGTTCTATTGACGGCAGTCTCCGCTGCGTAGTATGACGTTATGCTCGAAATTGATTGGCTGGCGTTTTCTATCAGATGCAAAGTATGTCCGGCGTGTTCGTGGGTTGTTCTTCACCGCATTGAGGACGCCCGTAAATAGTAGCGGCCCGAATGTTTGACGGTGAGGTGTGGCTGGGGCAGGGGATGACCGCGTTGTCGTCACTTTTAGCCTTCGCTGAGTGCAACACGCAGTCCCTAGGGCTATTGGGGAGCTTTTTTGGGAGGGGAGTTTGAACCGTTGTATACCGGATGAGAGACAGAGTTATTCCGCTCACAAGCCACATTTCGCCGATTGTACTTCCCTATGCTTTTCGACAAGTGGAGAGAGCCATGGGCGTTGTGAATCCCTCAGCATTCCCTGTGATATTTGGCACCAAGAACCCAAGAAGTAGACGCAGCCTCGCAAGACTGTGGCAACACCGCGACGCCGCCGGACAGGTAGGGTGCTCATCGTGTTTCACATGAGGATTTCGAGCTTGGCCGAAACCACCGCTCGTTGTGGGAGGGCTCTTGACCAATCCGAGCGATGCCTCGACCCGTGACGCAGGTTACCCAGGAAGATTCGAGGTACCACCGCAAGGACTACACCGAGCGAGGCGAGAGACGACGCTCCATCGGTACGTCAAACGCAACAAATAGACATAAAATTGGGAGAGCTTGAAGCTTCGGGCAGGCGAGGCTGTTACTTGGCGATGGTGCGCTTGATCATTGTCGCTCTCTTCTCGTCCTGTCGGCCTCCACATTAACAGCCCCCTGTTTTCGTTTTATTGAGGCGTTGTCTCAGCAACCCAGGCCGTTGGCGAGTCCTTGACATGCATGTACGTTGGAACGTCCTTTTAGTGCCATGAAGAGTGCACCATTCGCTCGGGTGTTGGTTGGGACGCACCCCCCCGCAGGATTTCTCGTCCACAGCCACCGATGGTCGACCGACTCGAAGCGCGACATCCCGAAGTTGTCGAAGATTGTTCAGGTCTGCTGTGTTTTCCACGACGACACCAATTCATCAGCGACAAGCAACCAGCGTTCGTCCTTCTTTCCGTGGCGTAGCGGCGCCAGAGAGCTATTTCCTGTGCTGCGCTACTCCGAATCTTATATTTTTCACTTTCGACAACGGTTTGCTTCCACCGCATGATTAATGAGATGAGATGCCCGTCGCCTATTTGTTATTGTACGGCGAACTGATCAGCGAATGCCGGGGCGTGCTTATGAGTCAAAGACGCATCTAATAAGCAGCACCGAACTACTGTACCGAGCATGGCAGCGCGGTATCTTTATGCCGTTGGCACTATTAACTGGACACGACCTGGGACGTTACCTATCATCTCATCAACTTCCAACCGACGGCGTTCGCTTTCAACATGGGCGAGAGTGCACAGCCATCACATACGGGTGGGGGTTCTTTCCTCGCCTCTCCCCTCCGGCCCCGTCGTGCCCCATTCCCATCTGCGCCGTGCGGTACCGTGCCGCGCCACGATGTTGTTGTTGTCCTTGTTGTCACCACAGGCCGAAACAAAACACCTCACCCGACCTTTCGTGCCTCGTCGAGACGTTTCTTGCCGCCTCGCGCTTCCGCAAGGGCAGTACGTCATCGTGGCGACGTCGCTCGAGGCTGGAGTAGCGGGACGGTTCTGGGTGCACGTGAAGGCTGATCGCGACGTGAGAGACACGTAGCAGGGGTGGGAGAGGAATGACAAGTCAGAGACGTTGACATCAAAAGCCCAATCTTAGATGAGGGAGCGTTGTAAGTTCGGACGTATTGTCATGTGGCGGCAGTGTCCAGATAGTCTCATCAAGGCGAGCGTTGAGCCCGGCTTAGGCGGCCACGTGTTACCTCGACTTCACCCTAAAACCCATGCGACTTACAATTTCGTGAGATGTCGTGCAGTAGCACAACAGGCTACATCATATTTCCAGGGATGTCAACCTGCCAACTCAACCCTCCGCTACTTCAATTCAGTGACAGTAGCCTGCCGTTCCTACCCCTCGCCCGAGCCCTGCCTTCTCTATAATCCTTCCCTCCTCCACCGTGCCACCCACCGTGCTTGATGGGGAACAAAACGCCGGGCATCTGGCCGCTATCGTTCTTCCTTTCGTGCCTACCCGAACGTGCAGTTTGCTCTTCAGCCCAGCTTCCCCGGGGCGGCGAACGCCGGTTCCAATGCCGGCAGCTGCGGAATAAAAACGAGGGAGGTCGGCGTGTCTGTGGAAATAGCCTACAACGAAGTCGAAGAAAATGCAGAGGGCAATGGCTTGACCGCCGCCGCAGCAAGCCTTGGGGTAAGTGGGCGGTCTGGCGGACGGGTTGCTTCCACCTTCGAGCAAAAGCCGACGGAGTCAAAGTCTTGCATTAGTGCCAGGGCTGTGTTTGGGGGGGGTTATTCTGCAGCACTCTCGCTGTTGGTAATCCCAGCAGCTCGTCGCTTTCGTTCTTGACCCTGACCTGATGAAATGTGGTTTAGAACTTGATAATATTTTTCCTGTTTGTACTCCGTTTGTCGTTTGTGCTGCCACGCGCTACGGAAACAACAATCATAGCTGATGAGCGCCACCTTTCTTCGCATTGTGAGCTCGAGGGTCCCTTGGAAGACGCGGAGCCCACCACTCCTCTTATTCACCATTGATGCACCACAACATTTGGGGGGCAATAGTGTATCGCACTTGGAGAATATCTGTTGGACTTGCAGAGATTGAGAAACTCAGGGCACTACTACACCAGAAAGTACCAAGAACACTTTTTGGACAATGTGTGAGACACCTCATGAGACACCTCGTGAGACACGTAATGAGACCTCATGGCACCTCATGACACCTCATGACACCTCATGACACCTCATGGCACTTCATGACGCGTCGTGAGACCTTGTGACACCTCACGTCGCCTCATGACGCGTTGTGAGACCTCGTGACACCTCACGTCGCCCCATGTCACCCCATGACGCGTCTTGACGCCCCATGACGCCTACTGATACCTCATGATACCCCATGACGCCTCATGAGACCTCACGAGACCTCATGGCACCTCATGAGGCCTCCTGACACCACCTCATGACACCTCATGGCACCTCATGAGGCTTTATGACACCTCATGACGTGTCGTGAGACACCTCATGAGGCCTCATGGCACCTCATGACACCTCATGACACCTTATGACGCGTGGTGACACCTCGTGACACCTCATGACACCTCATGACACCTCATCGTGAGACCTCGTGACACCCCACTACGCCTCATGTCACCCCATGACACTTCTTGACGCCTCATGACGCTTCATGATACCTTATGATACCCCATGACGCCTCATGACGCCTCATGACGCCTCATGACACCTCATGGCACCTCATGGCACCTCATGGCACCTCATGACGCGTCATGAGACATCGTGACACCCCACGACGCCTCCCAACACCCCAAGATGTCTCATGTCACCCCACGACGCCTCTTGACGCCTCATGAAGACTCATGAGACCTCACGATACCTCATAACGATGACGCCTCATGAGGAGTCATGAGGTGTCATGAGGTGTCATGAGGCGTCATGAGGTGTCATGAGGCGTCATGAGGCGTCATGGGGACGTCATGAAATTCCTCGTGAGATGGGTCATGATTCTTTCAGACGGCTCGTGGAATGCCTCACGAGGTGCCGTGAGGCGGCTCAAGGCACCTCACGATACCGCTCACGATACCGCTCATGAGACCGTTCATGAGACACCTCACTGTCTCTCATGAGTGGTCTCATGAGCGGTATCTTGAGGTGCCATGGGGTCTCATGCGGCCCCATGAGCCGCCCAATGGAACCTCATGGCACTTCACGAGCCATCCCATGAGGTGTCGTGAGGCGACTCACGAGGTCTCATGAGGCGCCTCATTTTTTGTTCAAGTATTGTACATGACCCACTAGAAAAGCCGTCTTGAGTCGACTCGATGTGTGATGAAAGATCTCTAGACCATTTCCCCGACAGTCCAAAAAGGACCCCAGGGCGTTCTTGGTTGACTGTCGCGGTCGATTTGGACATGTCAAGAGGTCCAGCACCATGTGCGCCGCGCGCTGCCTCGGGCGTTGACTTCAATCAGGGACTACTGACGACGGCGCAGGAGCTGGCCGCGAGGAAAGCAGCGGCCGAGCACCAGCACCAAATGTTGCAAGAGCAGGCGGAGCGAAAGGAGAATCAGGATACAACCCGAGCCGCAGATACTATCGTTGCCGAGGACGGCGACAACTAACTGTACCTCAACCGATGTCAATATCGACGATGATGAGAGTAGTCTTGTCGTTGGCCGTCACGATGGAGAATAAGCTGACGGTTCGTACAATCGTAGGAGTCGGGTACCAGGTTCGCTTGCGTGAAAAAAAATAGAAATAACCCTCTTCTTCGCGGCATTGGGAATAATTACACTTCCATCCCTCACCGCCGACAGAGTTTCTGAGGCCGCTTCGCCGGATAGGTTCTGGGATGATGTGCCTGGGTGAGGTAGGAGTATCATGGGCTCTAGATTGGCGTGAGGACTAGATCTACAATTATAAGTTCAAAATCGGAAAGGCAGGAGCAGGGAAAACCAAACCTACATGGCCTGTGAGCTGATTGTAAAATGACGAAAAATTAGACCACTCTACATATTTTTTTCCCAATATTTTGTGGGGCCGGCGGGTATAGACTGGTAGGTCAGGGCAGGAATTCCGACGATGTGGCAGCGCAGTTTGTGCGGTAGAGGCGCTGCTTCTGGAGAAGCTCTCTGCGTATGTGTGTGCAGTGTACGGAGGATCCGCGAATGAATGCGGTTTGGCCAGGGTGGTTCATCCAGGGACCGGGTCCAAATGTCGACGACATCACACCACCACCGCTGACCCTCTGACACACACACGATAGCAGGCGAAGTGCTGTATTGGAAAGATTAAGATTCATATCTTTCATATATGCATTTCAGTACACGTGGTACGGTACAACAGGGTTAGTAACATGGGACTAACGAAACAGCCGGCTGGGTGTGGTGTATTGTTGCAAGCTTCGTACAACGATGTCCGTGTCTCCTGTTGATATCGCCGTCTGTATTGTCTGCCCGACAAACGATCTTTGCTTTTGACCTCACGGACGAAACTTTTGTACCGATTCAGTAGCTGTTTTCGAAAGATAGTCTACAACACTACAGCAATCAATAGCCGGGGCCCCGTGAACGGCACTGCTGTATGTAGGAATTAAGAACAGAACCACGAAGAATGACATGTATGGCCCACAAACGATATTCACTGGTGGTCCAACCTACAGTTCTGCCATCATGGTTGGTGCGCGGAACAAATTCAATTACCTAACAAATTTTGTTACATCGGTTGGTTGCTCTGTTTCATGTTTCCCTGTTAACTCTCGACTACTAGGCTACTGTGCACATCGAGAAGTCGATGGGTTTCCTCATTCACATTCATATCTTGGGAGGGAAAAGAAAGGAGCTGAGAGAAAGACTCTTCGCCAGATCCAGCCTGACATCCGACGGCTGTACTGTAGAGTCGACCAGTTTGGGAACATCTTTTTTCAATCAAACACAGGTGATCCAGTTCACACGCACATCTTTTTCGAGGGACGAGGGCACCGGCTATGACAAGCATCCTACGACCGTAGCAAGACTCCACCAAACCAGCATTGGAATTCGAGGGCCCGATGATGCAGGACAAGATATACGGCGGGGACAAACGTCACTGCACGCGACCACGCCAACACGAGCGCAGGAAGCGACGAAACGGAGCCCAGCCCCGCCCCAAAACCCCCGCCCAAGGCATTCAAGGAAGATGACGCTGTTTCGAGATCCTGGCACAGAAGGTCTGGCGCCGCTGCTGTATCGTATTCAGGAACAAAGCGGGGGCGGGGAATCATCACCGCCAACGCCACGGCTGGCACGGCAGAGATCGGTCGTATCCTCCGGTGGGAGGGCTTGGAAGAGGCCGGCCTCGGGCAGGATACACCCAGCTCCTGACGGCAGCGATGACACACCAGTGCAGACACAAGTTCCGCCTCGGATAGCAGTACGCACCGCAATGAGGGACGAAGCGGAAGGACGTAGTGATGATGGTGGTGGTGGCGGCGGCGGCGGTCGGCCTCGTGAAATCCCTCAGATGCCGGCTTTTGGCGGAATAGCGCCTCGGTGCGGTCTTCGGCGAAGCGAAACCTCGACGTTAAACGAACGCCGCAATGCCTCCCACCTCCGAAAACCTCATACCGCGGCAGCTCGCTCCACCCATGACGGTGACGACAATGACAGCTGGATGCCCAGTGTTCTAGGTGGTCTTATTCCACAGACATGTAGTCTGGCTCTCGGGCTGGCCAACGCGGAAGACCCGGGACGGCGACTCGACGAATAGCTGCAACATAAGCAGCTGGCCAGTGAGGAAACCAAGTCTGCTCGACGGCAGCATCACCCGCAGCATCTGCGTGTTGGTTCGAATGCTTCACGAGAGGTAGCCAGAGAAAGCGAAGGTGGTACCGTTCAAGCCGCTGCGACGGCGGCGGGCGTTGACAATGGCGCGGTCGACTCGTCTTCAGGGAAGTATGCTAACGTAGCCGCGTCAACCGCGGGGGAGACCGGGCAGGTCTCCGACGGGGGACTGCCGCAGCAGAAACAACGTACGAAGGGGCCGCAGCCGCAGCAGCAACCGCACAACGACGGAAACGATCGTACTGTCCTGGCCCCTGGTCTCCCCATTGCTGACCCCTCAGTAACGTCCGTACTGCCAGAAACCTCAACAACCGGCGTCGCCCAAGCGCGGCGGCTGGCTTCGTTCTCGAGGCTGCCTGATTCTGTGTCGCCGGGACACAGAAGAGTAGCGGCGATAATGGCTGCGCCCTGGCGTGAACCGATGTCGGTGACACCGGTATTCGGTAGCAGCGGTGAAGGCAGTACCCTCCGTGGTGAGACGACACCGGATGCCGCGCTATCCTGCTCCGCTTCGGTCGCGACGGCGACAGCAATCGCAAACGCCATCAATGCCACCGCAACGGTGAGCGCCGCTGCCGGCAGCGACAGGGGCGGTGCAATTGTCGCCACGGAGATCAAGGGGTATAAAATCGGCGGCATAATGCAGAGCGACAGCATCGTGAGCGGAGATGGCGGGAATGCCGGAGGCTGGGACCCTTCCTTGTTGGAAGATGAGCAGCTGTCTTCCAGGAAAGAAGACTATGGACGAGAGGAAGACGGCGAAGGGAGTGGTGTGCCAAGGGAGGACTGTCCCGCCGTGGTCCGGTCGGACGGGGGCGCATGCATTCGTCCTTCCTCGGGTCGACACGACGACGCCCACAACGACTGCTGGGAGGACACCGACTACAACTCGAACAGCACGTGGGCCACAAACAACAACACCTCTTTCTCCACGAGAGTGAGCACTGGCAGCTTCGCTACGACGGACAGCAATACCCGAGGCGGCGGCGGCGGTGGCGGTGGCGGTGGGTCGCCGCGGTCTCGCGTGCTGGCGGCGACTCTGGGCGCGGCGGCGCGGCAGGGGGTGGCGGCGGCGGGCGAAGAAGGTGTGCTTGGCGGCGAAAGCCGCTTGGTTTTTCGGTGTGCCAAAAACCAGGACTGATCTAGCCTCTCGGGTATCGAACTTCCTAGCCTCGGATCGTAAGATACGCCAAAGAATACGCTGTGTCAGGGAAACAATCCGCATCTTTTCGGCAGGTTCGCAGTGGTCGACGTAGGATGTAGGAGCATGAGATGCTAGGGTGCTGCAGCAGGCGAAAGTCTCAGAGAAAACGCCGGTGCTTGATTTGGCATAGTCGGTGTTCTTCTTTGAAGAAAACTGCGGCACCACGCGCGGGGGTAGCTGGTGCGTTTGCCGTATTCTTGGGCTTGTCGTTCTAATTTTTTTTTTAACGATGAGAGTTCTCGTGTACTTCTTCACGTAAGACAGCCACCAACAACCCCGCCCTCCTTCCCACAACGACAACGAAAATTACATTCGTGGCCCGTTTTGTATCATCCCCCTCAACCCGCCTCGAGTATCCGCACACGCAATTGTGTCTCTAACACAACATCGGCAACGACAAGGCCATAGGTGTTCCTTTTTGAGTGGAGAAGCCGGCAGCAGCAAGACGTTCTTCATGACGTTGCTGGCTCACGAGCTCGCGCTAGCGTGGTCCCTGAACCAGGGGGGGGGGGGG